AAAAGCCAAAAAAAAAAAACCAAAATTAGTCCGGGAAGTCGAGAACGTAGGCAAGCCAGAAAAGATATGGCCAATCGTGAGTTGAAAGAAAGAGTCGAAGGATTGGAAGGCCAATTCAGGGCCATAAGTGAAAGCGTAGAGGGTCGATTTGGTTCGCTCGATGACGGACAGACCACCACCAATGCTACCGTGGCTCGTCTCGAGCAGCGCCTGGAGGAGGTGTTGCGCGGGTTCCAGCGACAGCAGCAGCAGGAGCCACCACGGATGAACGCACGCGAGCGTCTACGGCAACAGGAGCAACAACGGGCTGAGCACAACCTCGACGAGGAGGAGGAATACGAGCAGCGGTCGCAGGCGTCGAGCGTTCATGAGCGACCACGCGTAGAGAAGCCGAGGATCGTGCTCTCAACGTTCACGGGAACCAATCCGGACGCTTGGCTGAACAGGGCGGTGCAGTTCTTCAACCTAAACGAAATGCCGCAACGAGACTGGGTTCGATACGCTGCGTACTATCTAGATGGTGAGGCCAACGTGTGGTGGCAGTGGCTCACGCGCGTGTATCGCGGGCGGCAACAACCAATCCGTTGGGAAGATTTTGAGCGCGAGCTCCTTACGCGTTTTGGGAACTCAGATTATCATAACCACGACGAGGCGCTAACTCGGATCCGGCAAACAGGGAGTGTACGTGACTACCAAAAAGAGTTCGAGAGGTTGGCGTGCCGGGTTCGTGGGTGGCCGGAGAGCGCACTTGTTGGCGCATTTGTTGGAGGGATTAGATATGATCTCGCGGCTGAAGTACGATTGGAGAGACCGGAGACCATGCATAAGGCCATGGAAGTTGCTAGGAGACGGGAGGATCACTTGGCCGCAACTCGAAGGGGACGGGCGGACTTTCGAGTCCCGGAGCCGCGACGTGTGCCGGCGACCGTGGGCGCACCTAGTGCGAATGCGAGGCCGACGGGCACCTTTAGGCCACCGGCAACCGAGGTGAAGAGGTTGACGGAGGATGAGATGGCGCGAAGACGAGAGAAGGGGCTGTGTTTTCGGTGCGAGGAAAAGTACACGCCGGGACATCGATGCAAGCAGAACTACTTGATCGAGTTTGTGGACTTGGACGACGAGGAGCCGATGATCGAAGTAGAACGAGAGGCGGAGGTCGAGGTGCTCGATGATGAGGCCGAGATCTCTGTACACGCCATGGCAGGCA